CCTGCTCCCAGCGGGGCCTACAGGAGCTTTGCCTCTGACCTCCCTGGCAGCAGCCCTGGGCCTGGTGCCCCACTCTGGCCATTTATGCCCCCTCATCCCAGGGGTCAAAGCCAGCCCAGCAGGGCAGGGGCAGCATCCATGATATCATGCAGGTGCCTCTAGTTCAGCCCCAATCGTCAGCCTTTGCCTGCCAGGCCCACGTACACAGCCTGAGTTAGGGGTAGGGGGAGCTCCCATGGCACCAGGTGAGGAGGAGGGGACGCTGCCCTACCACCGCGGTTGCTTTAGCCTCTGAGAAGGACTCCCTAAGGACCCAAGTCCAGGCCACCTGACTAGTTCACACCACACTCACTGTGCGTGGTGCTCTGTTCCCTTCCTGGTGTGTGTCTGAAGGCACCAACACAGGCTGATGAGCCAGCAGAGCGAGGTCTTTTCACTCATGCAGGGGACGCTCATACTTTAAAATGCAGAGGTCCCTGGTTCAATCCACTCCCACAGAGCAATTCCCCGCCCCAGGACCAGCTCTAGCTGCACTGCCGGCTCAGCCTGGCTAGGGTGACCAGACGTCCCGATAAAATCGGGACTGTCCCGATTTTTAGCTGTTTGTCCCTCGTCCCGACTGATCTCTGGTTGGGACGCAATTTGCCCCTATATTTTGCTCTGCCGGCAGCACTCGCCTTTTTTTTTTTTTTTTTGCCCCACCCCCTCCTTCCCCGTGGTGTTCCAATATTTTCTTCATCTCATCTGGTCACCCTAAGCCTGGCAGACACAGTTGCCTCCCAGCAGGGCCAGTGAGTGCGGCCAGGAGGCAGAGGGTGGGGGAGTGGGTTACTTGCAGGGGCAGTGCTGGGCTGTCAGGGGGCAGGGAAGATGTGTGTGTTGGGGCACTAGGGAGTGGGGGTTCTGTGCAGGGTGCTGGGCAGTTGTCGTGGGGCTGTGGGCAGGGAGGCACTGGACAGAGGTGGTGTTGTGCAGGGCGCTGGGCATTTGTGTGGTGGAGTCTGGGGGGCTCTGGCCATAGGGAGTCAGGATTGAGGGACACCAGCAGAGCTGGTGGGGGGGAAGCCCAGGGCTGGGTTAGCAGGGGGGTTGCAGGTGGGGACTGAGGGGCACTGGCAGAAGGGAACAGAGCCTGCAGGGACACGCAAGCCCACAGAGGTGTCAGGATCCCATGTGCCAGGTGCCGCTGTGAAGAGAGGGCAGGGCTACTGGGCAATGCCACATGGGAGACCTCCTGACTCGGGGGATGATCTTGTAAACTGGAGTAATAGTAATAGGATGAAATTTAATAGTGAGAAGTGTAAGGTTATGCATTTAGGGATAAATAACAAGAATTTTAGTTATAAGCTAGGGACGCATCAGTTGGAAGTAACGGAAGAGGAGAAGGACCTCAGAGTCCTGGTTGATCGCAGGATGACTATGAGTCGGCAATGTGACGTGGCAGTGAAAAAAGCTAATTCGGTCTTGGGATGCATTAGGCGAGGTATTTCTAGTAGGGATAAGGAGGTGCTGGTTCCGTTATACAAGGCACTGGTGAGACCTCATTTGGAGTACTGTGTGCAGTTCTGGTCTCCCATGTTTAAAAAGGATGAAATCAAACTGGAACGGGTACAGAGAAGGGCCACTAGGATGATCCAAGGAATGGAAAATCTGTCGTATGAAAGGAGACTCGAGGAGTTCGGTTTGTTTACCTTAACCAAAAGAAGGCTGAGGGGGGATATGATTGCTCTCTTTAAATATATCAGAGGGATAAATACCAGGGAGGGAGAGGAATTATTTCAGCTCAGTACTAATGTGGACACGAGAACGAATGGATATAAACTGGCCGTGGGGAAGTTTAGGCTTGAAATTAGACAAAGGTTTCTAACCATTAGAGGGGTGAAATTTTGGAACAGCCTTCCGAGAGAAACAGTGGGGGCAAAAGACCTCTCTGGCTTTAAGATTAAGCTTGATAGGTTTATGGAGGGGATGGTTTGATAGGATAACGTGATTTTAGTCATTAGGTCAATAACGTGCCATCGCTGGTAATTAGCAACAATGGTCAATGATGGGATATTAAAAGTTACTACAGAGAACTTTTTCCAGAGGGTCTGGCTAGAGAATCTTGCCCGCATGCTCAGGGTTCAGCTGATTGCCATATTTGGGGTCGGGAAGGAATTTTCCTCCAGGGTAGATTGGCAGAGGCCCTGGAGGTTTTTCACCTTCCTCCGCAGCATGGGGCAGGGGTCGCTTGCTGGAGGATTCTCAGCGATTTGAAGTCTTTAAATCATGATTTGGGGACTTCAACAGCTGAGTCAAGGGAGAGAATTCTTCCAGGAGTGGGTGGGTCAGCTTTTGTGGCCCGCATCATGCGGGAGGTCAGACTAGATGATCATAATGGTCCCTTCTGACCTTAGAGTCTATGAGTCTAGGTGCACACTCTGCCCTCACCTCGGGGAGGAGGGGATTTTATATTTGTTCTTTCTTCCTTTCCTCTAATCCAGTGGTTCTCAAACTGTGGGTTGGGACCCCAAAGTGGGTCACGACCCTGTTGTAATGGCGTCACCAGAGCTGGCATTAGGGGCCTGAGCCCAAGTCTGAGCCCTGGGCGGCAGGGCTCAGGTTACAGCTTTCCCCCCGGCCCCCGCCCAGGCTGAAGCCCTCAGGCTTCGACTTTGGTCTCCCCACCACCACCACCCTGCCCAGGGCAACAGGGCTGGGATGGGCTCAGACTTCAGTCCCCCATCCTGGGGTCGTGTAGTAATTTTTGTTGTGGGAAAGGGGTTGGTGCAATGAAGTTTGAGAACCCCTGCTAATCTAATAGAAGTCTGCACATGCAGGAAACATTGCAGCCAGAGCTAAAGCCACACGCTGCCTAGTCACAAAGCTCTGAGCGGGCTGGAGCAGGCTCCCCTCAGCACTCCCAAAACCCACGAGGTTCTAACTCTCGTGAGATGCGTTTTCAGAGCAATTTCCATCATCTTCTTCAGGGCTCATAGACTGGGGCAGAGAACTTCCACCGCATGGAATACCGATCCCAAAATCCCCATCTCCCCCCCCTTAACGCTTAGGTCGGCCTGTGCCCCGGCTGCAGGAAGCACTGACCCCAACCCTTAGACTGGCTCGGAGCACGTGGGACCCACCACTCTGCGGGCAGCCCAGGGTGTGACATGCTCAGGGGCTGGGAGCAGCATCCAGGATTCAGGTGGCTACTGGGAAGGCAGCGCTGTCCCAGTCAGAACAGGGTGGCTTGCATGGGCATCTCCCACCTAGTGGCAGCAGCACTGCGATGTCCTCAGACCCTGGCTAGAGACAGTGAGTGGAGGAGAACTGACAGCCCCGGGTGAAGGCTATGGGGCCTCAGATGCTTGCTTGAGAGGAGATGAACTGTGCTGGGAAAATCCTCCCTGAGTGGGTGGGGACCAGTCTCCATGCCCTCCCATGGCCCTTTCCCCTGGCATGAGAGGCCTGTGGCACTGCCCTCAATGCCCAGGGCTGGGGAAAAGGAGCTTGTGCTAAGGACCTCTCCAGGCAGCTCGTGGCAGCACAGATAATAATCTGCATGTCACCTCCACCTGAGGGGCATGTCCTATAGACCCCGTTGCCTCAGAGAGGCAATTGCTGCTGGGATGGGGTCTGGTGACACAGCAGTGGCGGTGGACCTTTGGGAGCAAACCCTGCCACCCTCCCTTGTCCATGCATTTGGCATCAGCCCTGGCACCAGCACGGGAAACCCAGCACCAGACTCACAGGCACTTGAGATCCTTGTGGGGAAGCTGTACCCATGCACACTGCATCAGTGGGAGTGGGGAAGAGGGATAGCAGCTTTGCTGCTTTCTGGGGCAGGGAACCAGGACTCAGGTGAACTGGGTCCTTTTCTCAGCTCTGCCACTGACCCACTCTGTGGCTTTGGGCAAGTCACTTCCCCTCTAGAAGGCCAATAACATACACCACTCCCACAGCACTCCCCCTCCAAGGATCTCCAAGCATGTTATAGGCATTGGCCCATCAAGCCTCCTGACCCCTTGTGAGGTGGCTCATGATCCTCAAACCCATGTTCCAGATGGGGAAACTGAGGCACAGAGCAGGGAGGTGAGTGACTCACTGACAGTGGCCCAGAAATCCTGTGGCAGGTGGGGAACAGCATTGAGGTCTCCCTACCCAGGCTTTAGCCTCTAATGATCCTCCCCCAAGTGCTGAAGAGCTGGAAGACCCTGTGGGGCAGCCCCATAGAGAGGAGTCAATTATTGTTAACTAGGCTGCCTCGTGAGCTGTCGCTGGCCCCAGTATGCCTATGGGACAATCTGCAGATGGCTGCCCCCATTGTACCAACTCCCCTTGCAGCTCCTATAATGGCAGAGCAGTGTGGAGCTCTGACTAGTCAGAGCCTGGGAGGCCCTATTCTCCCCTGCCTGGCACCTAGTGTTGTAATCTAGATCTGTCTATCCCTCACCTGCCCCAGAAGAGCTGAGCATGGGGAGCAGGTGGAGAACAGCTCCTGGCCCTTTAAATCCTGATTAACACAGGGCCTTTAAAATGGATGTGAGGAATGAGTCCTTCTTAACCCAGTGGAGGGTCAGAGAGGAGGGGCTGGAACTAGTCTGGGTCCTAAGGATTTTAACCTTCCCCCTGCTGAGTGCTGGTCCTGCTGACCTTGCTTGGTCCCCAGGCTAGTGGGGTTTTTAAAGTGCATTCAGAGGAACCCCTTAGTGCTAGGTCCCTGGGGGGCTGGTTTTAATCCTGAAGGGTTTGCCCTCAAGGGAGGGCAATAGGGCAGGGAGCAGAAATTGTCTGATTGCACCTCAAAACTTCCTTCACCCCCAAGGAAGCTGCCTAAAGGCCCAGCCTGGGAACAGCTGAGTGAAAGCAGGAGAGCCCTGCCCTTGCTAGGGAGAAAGTGCTTGCCTTTGTGGGGGGAGGGGGAGAAGAATGCTTCCTCCTACTTTGTGGCTCCCATAGCACCAGCCCTCTAGAGCTCCCTGCCCACCCCATAGCCACAGCCTGCTGCCCACCCCTTAGCCATGATTGCACTGGGCCCTCTCTGCTCCCTTGGGAGCTTGTTCCTCTTGGCTGCTCTGCTCCCTCTGGAGCTGAGTATGGGGGAGGAAGGGAAGGAGCCAGCTGCCCTGAGTGCCCTGGCTAGGGTGCCTTCCTTGCCCCTCATCCAGGTGCTGCTGAAGCAGGTCCCCAATGTCTGGCCCTGCTGCCACCGGAAGCAGCTGGCCAGCAGGCAACCGCTGCGTTACATGCTCAACCTGTACCAGAATGTGGCAGACCAGGCTGGGCGACCCCGCCAGAACCGTAAGCTGGGTGCCAATGCTGTGCGCCTGGTCAGGCCCTTTGCCAAGACAAGGCGGCCTGGGGCAGGTGAGTCATTAGGCATAGGGGGGTGGGCAGGTGGATCTCCTGGGTGAAGCCACCTGGCAGGGAGGTGGGGGTGGCTGGAGCTGGGGTGGGGGGGTGTTTGAATGGGGGGCACTGGGCTGTGTAGTGCTCAGGGCTTGAAGGAGATGGCAGTGGGAAGGGCAGCTGTAGAGAGCTGGGAACCCTGCTACCGTAACCCCTGACTGTGCCTGTAAAGGCACCAGTCAAGAGGACTCTGCTTTTTTGCCAGAGCTCCCCACCCCCGGTCCCTCCTTCTCCATGCTGCCTTTAGCTTCCCTCCTGCCCTGGCCCATTGGCACTAGAACAGGAGAGCTGATCTTCCGGCAGCAGGTGGGGTCCAAGCAGCAGGTGGCCTTGCAGAGTCTTGTTGCTCCAGGCCTTGTTGTACAGAACTGGCCCCTGTGTGGGTTCTAGTGAGCCTCCCCCTGGGGGCAGGCTGGATACAGGGGGGTTCCCCCCTCCAGGGATGCTCTGCTCTGCAGTAGTCTGTACACTAGCACAAACAGCCATGTTAGTTACTGCAGCGTGTTGACCCTGTTCATCCCAAAGCACCTGCCTGCACTCCCTGGTGCCTGGAGCTGGTCAAGCTAGTGAAAGGCAGGGCTAAGACCGCATCCCACCCCTATGCTCCTCTGCAGGGCTTGTGTGTGATGGGAACTGTACCATGCTCTTGGCCAAGGAGGTGGACTCTGGACTTTGCCTCGTCCCCTCTCTGCTGCCAACCTCACTCCCCCTTGCACACAACTGCTGTTTGTTTCCACCCCTCCTGCTCTCTGGCTGCACAGTGCTTGGGGACCCTGGTTACCTGGGGACTCTGGTTCTCACAGGCGTCTGTGGGGGAGGGTGGAGTGTAATCCTTCACACTAACACTGTCCAGTCTGCATGTCAAATGGAGCCTGGGGAAGGGGGGTGTTCTGATGTCTGCTGGGGAGAGGCCCAGAGCAGAGACTTGTTTCCTTCATTCAGCTATTTATAGGGACAAACCCAGAGTCTCCACTAGGAAGGACAGTGCTTCCTGTTAGCTCTCTAATTGGGAGCTATAAAGAGATATTGGGGGTGGGCTGGGTGCTGCCCCCTTCCTCAAGGGCTGGAACCCAGCCTATTGACAGCTCTGTATCCCCACTGGTCTGTGGCTGGAGAATGAGCGAGTCTGGCTGCTGTCTCCATCCGTCAAGCAGAGCACCTGCTGTTACCGAGGCCATGGAGAGCCAGGAAAGCTCAGCTGTTTCCCAGGCCTCTAGTAAGGGGATGTGATTAGTCAGGCCATCCTGGGCCATGCTTTGCAGTGAGCAGGCTCCTCTTCTCCCCCCCTCCCCCGCACCCGATGAGGTGCTCCTGGGACAGTCCATGTGGGGCAACGAGGCCCAGGAATGAAATAATTCTCACAACCAGACCATGGCGTGTTAAAGAATGAAACCAAGGTCTCCTAACCACTGGCCCTACTGCCTCAGGTGGACAATGGTACGTGTCTCTTGCCATGGCTGGTGTTCACCTGCAAGGGGGGTTCAGGCTCAGCCAGAGACCATGTGAGATGGTGCCTCAGCACTGGCTCAAGGGAAACTCCTGCCCTCTTGGTGAGGGCCGAGGTTCTTCAGAGCTCTGCCATGGCCTTGTCTTGTGCCGGCAGGCATGCCCCTTCCCTCCCCATCCGTCTCTGTTCCTCCAGGCAACACTGCAAGATGCTCTGATACGCTAATCTGGTTCTAGCAGTTTCCTGGCTGGAGCTTTGTACATTCTGGACTTCTCTAATGCCTTCCATGTGACCTTGATGCTTCTTAAATCAGAGGGTGGGAAGGGGGATCTTTCATGCACTCTTTCTGATGCATAAAGAGCCTGAACAATTTAGAAGGAATGAGGTCTCTTTCAGAAGATCAGGAATATGGCTCTGTCTCACTAGAGACCTCTCTGGGGCACCTGTGGGAGCAGCCTGGAGACTTGATACAGAACATTCTTCCAACAGTTTGTTGGACACTTGAGTTAAATAGGTATTAACCAAAACAGCTTCTCCTCTCAATCAAGTTGCAATTCCTTGATTTCTGTAATGTTGTAAACCTCTCCAGTTGTCCAGTCTTTTAGGAAAAACCAGGTAGAAATTACCTGAATTTCTGACTTGAGGAACAAAACTACTTTATTTAATTAAAAACTGTTGCAGAGTGTGGGGGAGTCAGGGCCCTGCACCCCTCTTCCCGAGATTCACTGCGACTCTCAACCAGCCAGTAAAGCAGAAGGTTTATTTAAGGACAGGAACACAGTCTCAAGCAGAGCGTGTAGGTACGACCAGACCCCCTCAATTACCTCCCTCTGGGAGTGTCACGGCGCCTAGACCCCAGCTTGGGGTGCCCTGCT